GGCTCGTATCTTGTCCATGACCAAAAGACAATGAAAAACACTTCGTCCCAGAAGGAGTTCGCCGAGTCTGTGAAACCCGCAGGAGTGAGACCCCGGGCCCCTCCGGACAGCCCGGCCACGGCGAAGGAAATCGCAAACTCCAGAGCGATGCTGGACGGTGGAAACTGGCTTGCTCGAGAGTCTTGTCCTGATCTCGCAGTGCAGGTCCATGAGGCAACAATGCATGCCCAAACCCACGGTAGGCGAGGTGAGACACGGAAATACGATCGTACGTCGGGCCAATTAGTTTTCGAACCTATCCTGGAAGATTCTCCCGATCCCGATCGAACGACTCCGAGTCATCATGCACGCCGATGCCTCGAACCAGAACGCGACGAAATCTGGGACCCAGGCAGGTTACGTGATTGCAGTTATTGGCGAGTACATGATCAGAAACGAGCTGATCCCCTGGAGCCCCTTTGTCTGGAAGAGCTACCGCCTGCGACGTGTGACGTCTTCGACCCTTGCCGCCGAGACCCAAGCTCAGATGGACGGCCTAGGACCCCTGGAATGGATAGCGTGCTTGATCCTGGAGGGGAGCGTTGGGGATTTCTGCCTGCGTCGACGTTCCGAGTTCATGCCCGTGTTGACCCCTATCGCGGTGACGGATTGTAAATCGTTGTATGACCATGTTATCAGTTGTGGGAATGCTGGTGCTTGTTCCGACAAGCGAGTGGCGGCGGATCTGGTCATTACCAAAGAAAGAGTGCGGCGGTTGGGTGTAGGTTATCGTTGGGTTCCCTCTGGGCTGCAGATAGCTGATATTGTTACTAAAGACAAAGCCGAGCCAGCCGATATGTTGAGAATCACGATGGCGAGTGGAGTATACCAGCCAGCCGATGAACCAGCCGCCATGGCAGCAGCAGCTCAGGAGCAGGTCCGTCGTCAGCTTCTTTCGGCCCGAACCAGGAAGGCTGGACCGGTCCAGCCGTCCACGCATCCAGCTACTGCAACCGATCGACTGCGGGTGAAGGGAGATGCTCAAGTTCCAGAGCAGGCTGTCCGAGGACCAGGTCAGCAGCATGTTCGAGAGCATCCAAGTGGAGCTGGTGCGACACTCGGGCAAGAAGTGCAAGGTGGTGACGAATATGTTGACGCTGGGAGATGTCGAGAACCGAGGGAGCCGTATCAAGGTGACTGCGACGTGGAGCAAGTGGGCTGAAAACATCGCAATCAGGACTGCGGCGATCGTCGAGGATGCAGCCCTGATGTACCTAGACGCCTGGGACAGCGTACGCGGCGCTGTTGATGAACAAGGTTCTGGAGCTGCTGGATGGAATGCAGGGGGCGATCGACGCCCTGAGAATCCCAGCCGAGCACAGCTACGAGGGTCCAAATCAGTCCGATTCGGAGGCGTGGAATGTCGTTTCATCGAAGATGCCGGACGAGCCGGAGTTCCCCAATGCCATCGAGCGTCTGTGCGAGCGGGGAAATCAGGAGCTGGAGGAGTACGAGGATGAGCGTGTGAAGTTCATCCGCCTGATGATTCTGGAGTTCCGTGCGCCTCGGAAGTACCTTCTCCCGTCCGTGGACGAGGAGACAGACCACGGGGACGGCGAGTTCGAGGCGGCTTCTGAGCCAACCACCGCCGCTGGCGCCGCCGCCCCGAGCCGTGCCAAGCCCTCCGCTCGTGGCAAATAGGTTTTTTCCTCGAGGCCGCTGTGCGGCCATGCTACGCTTTTGTGACCGGGAGGCCCTCGTGGGCCGGTGCAGCCTCAATGACGCACGAATTCTAGTTTCTGATCAGTGCTGATCCGGGCCCTGATCGGGCCCTCGCGGGTAGTGCAGCGATTAGCGTGTGCGTATCGCGCGTGCTGTGTCTGCAGCATTTTGGCTTGCCTATGGTGAGTAAAAGAGGGAGCGGGCGCCCCCTCTCCAGGAGCCCAATCTGCACCTCCCTTCCTCTGTCTTTCTCACCCTCCTTGTCTTCTTTCAGCGCTTTCGTCGTTGTCGAAATCGTCGTCGTCGAGATTGACGTTGTCGAGATCGTCGTTGTCGGGATCGTCGTCGTCAGCATCGTCGTCGTCGTCGTCGTCGTCGTCGTCGTCGTCGTCGTTATCGCCGCCGCCGCCGCCGCCGTCGCCATCGAGAACGTCGTCTGTTGAGGAAGATGAGGGTTGGGTGGGCCTCGGAAGGTCTCGTGAGTGTTCGGCAGCTCTCGGAGGTATCGTGGAGGCTCGCAAAATCAATAGTGGCAATTGTTTGAAGGCTCACGGAAGATGAGGAGGATGGAGGACAAGAGGGGGAGGACGAAGGGCGAAGAGGGGGGAGGCACGGCGTCCTTAGAAGCGAGTGGGGTGAAGAATGCCGTGGAATTCGCGTTCACACAGCCTGCGTGACATCAGGTGCGGCAACTGCTGGGAACGCCGCGGTCGAAACACATGCTCGATGCAACATGAGGACACTGCAGCAGGAGGGGCGAGGAGCGAGGAGCGAGGGGCAGGAAGGGGGAGGAGAAAGAAGAGGAGATGGGCGAGGATGGAGGAGCGACCAGGGATAAGGAGTGAGCAGGGAGCCTCTCATCCTCCCACTCCTCCTCCTCCTCCTCCTCCTCCTTCACCGCCACTTGCCCATACACGCTCCTCCTCGTTCCTCGCTTCTCCTCGCTCCTCCCCAGTTGCTGCTCCTCCTGCTCCTCCTGCTGCTCCTCCTCCTCCTCCTGCTCCTCCTGCTCCTGCTCCTCCTCCTCCTCCTCCTCCTCCTCCTCCCCTGGTCCTTATCCTCGTCGTCCTCCTTCTTCTTCTTCTTCTTCTTCTTCTCATCGCCATCGCTCGCGCAGGGCGCTCGCTCGTCCTGCGGGCGCGCTGCCGGGACCGCGGGCCGAGAGCTGGGCAGCGCAGTGGGCTGCCGGCCGGGCTCGGGGCCGAGATCGGTGAGACACCGAGCGGGAGACCGAGCGGGCGACGAGCAGGAGCGGGGCCTGCGCGAGAAGACATCGCGGCCTGGCGCCGCGGCCTGCGCGGGCCGCCAGCGCGGCGAACCGCGCGGAGAGGGGGGCGCCGGCCCGCGACCCGACGCGGGAAGCTGGCGCGCGGATGTCCGTGCAGAAGAAGCCGTTTGCTTCCGCCGCCCAGCTGGGGACGACCTTTGGCCTAGGAGGCATCACGCAGGCTCAAAGTGGGTACACCCACCGTGGTCTCAGAAGAGGCGCCCAATGACACCAGCACCAGTTACGGCGTGATGCCCAGGCGGTGCCTGCACTGGGGGTTCCTGCTTCCCGTCTGCAAGTCGCTGGGTGGGTGTGGCGGGGTTTCGTCTGGTGGGCGGCCATGGGCGTCTCGTAGGCCCCCCGTGCGCTGGGTGGGTGGGTGTGTCGAGGTTTCGCCTGGTGGGCGGCAGTGGGCGCCACGCGGGCGCCCCGTCTGCTCGCTGGGTGTGTCGAGGCTTCGCCTGGTGGGCGGCAGTGAGCGCCTCGTGGGGGCCCTGCGGTGCTTGCACTTACTTTATTGTTTGCGTTACACAGGGTGCACTACGTTGCTTGCACCTCAAGCCTTGCACTGCATCGCTTGCACTACATAGCAATCGCGGCATAGCTTGCAGCACACGTGGATTGTACTACATTGCTTGCAGCGCGTGTATAATACGCCACGTGCCATGCAATATATTGCTTACACTCCCATCATGTCCGCGCTGTCAAGTATACATCCGCATACATTAACCATGACATCGGAGCAAAGCGAGTTGAGGCAACTGCAACTCAAAATCTGTTCGCGGACCCCTCCCGGGCTCCAAACGCACCAGTTTGCAGGACGGATCGTACTAGAGCAGATCGACACGCCTTCTCCATGGGGGCGACTGGCACTCCCGCGCGGGTCCTGGAGCATTGAAGGCGGGTCGTTTTCAAAATGTGGCTCTCGCCTTCGCGCCGTGCACATTCCTTTTCAACATTTGCAGGAGCTTCGCGGACTGAGGGCGGGCCGTTTTCAAAATGTGGCTCTCGCCTTAGCGCCGCGCGCATTCGTTTGAGCTATTTGCAAGAGCTTCACGGATTGAGGGCGGGTCGTTCCCAAACTGTGGCTCTCGTCTTAGCGCCGCGCACATTGTTGCAAACATATTGCGAGAGCTTCACGGGTTGAGGGCGGGTCGTTTTCAAAATGTGGCTCTTGCCTGAGCGCCGCGCACATTCGTTGTCAACATTTGCAAGAGCTTCACATATTGAGGGCTGGCCGTTTTCAAAATGTGGCTCTCGCCTTAGCGACGCGCACATTCTTGCAACCAAAATGAAAGAGCTTCACGGATTGAGGGTGGGTCGTTTTCAAAATGTGGTTCTTGCCTCAGCGCCGCGCACATTCGTTTTAAATACGAGTTTCACGTATTCTCATGGTTAACGTACCAGAAACTGTGTTTCTAAACGATCCAAGGTTGTCAAGGTGCAACAAGTACGTTGATTCGCGGTGTAGAAATCCCGGGGATGTTGTTCTAGCGCGATTCACGATCGCCAAGGCGTGACAGTCAGGGAGCTCGTGGCGCTGAAGTTCTGAGACTGGTGTTCTGGCATGCTTCAAGATGTTCACACGGTTGTCCCCAACGGGGCAATTCCCTCAGTGGAAATGACCCATTGTAAGGGTCTATGAAGAAGGATCTCGGAGGGAGGGTCTGTTTTAACATCGGTGATGAATCTTGGGTTTGTACAGGTCCTCCTCCTCCTCCTCTTCTTCCTTGACTTCTCCTGCAGCTCGTGACCTCCTCTTTTCCCCCCTCCCTCCTCCACCAGACATGCGATGTGACGGTTTTGGATTGCGGGGTCCCTGAAGGCCCCCAAAGCTGGTTTTGCATCCTGGAGAGCTTCTTGACGGTCCCGGGCCCAGCGAAGGCCCCCAGAGACCGAATGCGGCCAACAATCGCCCTTCGCGAATATTTTTCACGACGCGAGCGTGTCTGGGCCCCTCCCTCCCTCCCCTTCCCTCCTCGACGACGGCGGCGACGGCAAGGACGACGACGACGACGACGCCCGAGAGCGCCTGCCAGAGGCGGGCGCAAACGCCGCCTCGCCGTACCTCTCGCCAGCAGCGTCCTCTCCCCGCGCGCGTGCGCGTGCTACCACCGCTGGGGGCCGCCAGGTGGGTGGCCCGAAGGCCCTTCAGATATTTTTGTCGCGGGCCTGGCGCATTCACAGATCGGTCGGGTAGCTCAGGGTCACTGAACGGGGAATTAAGCACGGCTAGAATACGGCTGGACCTAGGATATAGTAACATCCTTCGGGAACATGAGAACCTCCGCCGGCCAAACCGAAGCACCTTCGAGGGTACCCTCCCCCAGTAGGCACAGGAGCATCCAACAAGCACGAAGAGAATTCGGGTAATTACCATCCCTTAACCGACCTCGATCTTATATCTCGGTCCGACCGTCAAGGAAATATGCAGGGCGGCCGCGAAAGTGACGAGAGGGGAAGGGTGGACACCTGAGACTGTGCAGGTCTTCAGGAGGCACGCTGCGACCCAGGTTCCAAGGAGTAGGCCAAGTAGACAGCGAACAGGACGTTCAGGAAGAAGACCAGCGATAGCTGGAGGCAGTCCGAGCAGGCTCGATCAAGGCCGTCGGCCTGTCGGTGTACTGTACTTGCGCCCCGTGGGACGGAAAGTAGCCCCCCGCAACCCTGCCCCCCGCGGCCGTCCCAGCCCCCATGGATGCGTGCCCTATGCCCTGTAGAAAGAAGCGAACCGTAGGCCAAAACGCGGGCCAGCATGAGTTCGATTCCCAACGGGGTGGTGATTTTTCTTATGTATGTAAGTATGTATGTATGTACGTACGTACGTATGTGTATGCGTATGTGTATGTGTATGTGTATGTGTATGTGTATGTGTATGTGTATGTGTATGTGTACGTGTATGTGTATGTGTGTGTATGTATATGTGTGTGTATGTATGTATGTATGTATGCATGCATGCATGCATGTATGAATGTATGTATGTATGCATGTATGTTTGTATATAGTTATGTTTGTATTTGTATCTGTATATATATATATATATGTATACGTACATGTATATGTATAGGTATATGTATTTGTACATGTGTATATGTATACATGTATGTATATATGCATGCATGCATGCATGTATGTATGTATGTATATACATAACAAGTGTAGCGGTATCGTACAAACCTCCCAGCGGGGTGGTGACTTACCCGTCCGTGCTTGCCACCGCCGCCCTCACCTCCAGGATGTTCGCTTGTCCGCCCCCCTGCCCCTGCTGCTGCTGCTGCTGCTGCTGCTGCTGCTGCTGCTCGAGCACGCGGTTCCCTATGGGTTCCAGCCTCGGCGGGGTGTGGGGAGCCTGGCGGCTGGGGGCAGCCGCGAGAGGGCGGATGGGGGAATCGGGGCGCCCTGCCCCTCCCTCACTCCCGTTGGTCCTCGTAGCCTGCCAGGTTCGAGCCCTGGCGCCAAGCTCGAGCCCGTCCCTGAAGAGGCCCCTGGGAGAGGGGTGGGCCACAGGCTGCCGCAGCCCCAGCACACCACGGGGCACGGGCAACTGCTGGGCCAGATCCGTGGCTGCTCGGGGGTCACCCGTCGTCCGCCTTCGCCGCCGTGGGGCCTGGCAACGCCCTGAGGGGCCTCGCCGCCGGCGGAGCGCTCGGGAGGTCTGCGGCCTTGGCCTGCGGCGGCAAGGATGCCGCGATGCTCGGGGTCCTCGTTACGCCCCCGGCCCCTCCCCCAACCCTGGGGAACTGCGGCACGGCCCTGCGGGGCGGGCGTTGCTCGCGCTCCTGGGCCAGGAAGTGGCATCCCACCCCCATCCTATCCCACGTCTTCCTGTGAGTCGCGGCACGGCACTACGGGGTGGACGTTGCTCGCGCTCCTGGGCTGGGAAGTAGTCCCCTCAATCTCCCTTTCCTCTGCTGCGTCCTCGTCAGCCAGGCTCACGCCCTGGCAGGATTGATTGGCTGAACGGCCTGCCGATGTGGTGCAACCCATCCTGACAACTCCGTAGCGGGCATCCCCTCGTTCAAGGGCGCAGGGCTCTGTGTGTGCTGTCGCCTTCGGGCCTCAACACTCAGCCTGCGGGTGCTGTCGGGCTTAAGAGCTCGGAGCGTGCCCCCACGTTGCCTAGTACCAGGCGGGGAAAACAGACACAGGAACACATAAACGTCGAACTCAAACAAAACATGGGGCAATATAGACAATCGGAGGGATGACGGAACTCCGAATGTTAGCCAGCGCGGGTCCCAAGCAGTGTGTTTCTAGCGACACATGGTGTGCAATTTGCGTGGGTAATCTATAATGTGTAATCTATGTCGCCGCGACGTTTGTGTTGAACGCGCCTAAATCGACGAAGCCGGCACCGCGGCCAACTTTACGGCAAACCTTGCGTCCGAGGCGGAATTTGCCCTTGTGGCCGAGGCGCCCCCCCCCAAAACGTAAGGTCGGGCGTCGGAAGACACGGCGCGGTGCCCCATGTGATGCAATCTGAGTGGTCCGTAATTGGTGTGGTGCAAGCTATGTTGGGCAACATCTGTGGTGCAATCTGTGTGGCGCAACATATGTAGTGTAATTCGCATTGCCGATCTTGAACTTGTCAACTCCACTGCTCGCGCAATCATCCCACCCACCCACCCACCCGCACTTTGGTTTGCAAGACCCATGCGGCGGCGATGTTGCGATAACTGCTTAGCGCAGGCTGGCGCATCGCTGCGGCCGCGCTAGCGCGCGCAGGCTCGCGCGCAGAGCGGCCAGCTAGTCTGGCGCGACCGACGCGGCCGCGGTGGCGCTGACCGCTGGGGACTTCCCAACGCATCTCGCAGGCTGCGCTGACGCGTGGGCACTTCAGGGGCGAGTCGGTGACTCGGGCGGGCGCGGTACCATGGCGACGTCGACAACAGCGGACACGATGATGATGGGAACGGTGCTGGTGACGACGATGACGATGACGACGGCAAGGACAATGGCGGCGCCGATGCCGATCACGCCAGTGACGATGATGGTGTCAACGTGTCGGTGATGAAGGTTGTGGCAGGATTTCGACGTGCGCGCGCGGCGGACGGGTGCGAGTGGCCGAGGGGCCCCCAGCACGCGCGCAAGGGCGTTCGAATGGTATCGAGAAAAGCGCGTGAGAGGCTCATCTGGTCGTATTTGGTGAATGTGTTGAAAATCCCGATGGTTTTCTTAAGAATTGGCAGATCGCGCGCGCAGATTTTTTAAACAGTCATGTTGCACCACCGTTGTTTTTTGAACATATGTTTTCGGGGCGCTCGATCTTGAAGTCCCTACGGGACCTGATGTATGCTTTCGGAAGATTTTGGCATGCGCGCGCCACGACGCGCGCGTGTGGACCTTGTCATAGTTATTGTAAGCAGTTTAAGACTTGATGATGATAAACGAATGTGCGCGCAAAGTGCTATTTGACGAGGATTAGGGGGGTCCCGGTTTGGCTGGGATGATGTGCGTTCATGCTTCGAATTGGCGATTGGGAATTAAGACATGTCAGTTGCACGTCCATAGGGGGTACCGGTAAGTCCGTGGGGAAGGGTGGTACATCCTTATTCATGCTTAGAAATGATAATCTATTTGGTGCGCAACGTATGCGGTGCAATCGACGTGGTGCAAAATGTGTTGTTCTATCTTTGTGGTGCTATATCGGTGGTGCAATCTTTACGGTACAATATATGCTGTGCAACCCATTTCTGCAATCTATGTGGTGTAAGCGATGTTGTGCTATCTATGTTGTGCAATCTCTGTGGGCGAATCTACGTGGTGCAAAATACGCGGTACAATCTACGTTGTACAAATTAGGTGGCGACGGGGCGGCGACGGCGAAAACATAGCCGCCATATCGACAATTCATCCCATACGACGGGCGGCGACGAGGCGGCGACGGGGCGGCGGCGGCGAAAACATAGCCGCCAGACCGACAATCAGGCCCAGGCGACGGGCGGCGACGAGGCGGCGACGGCGACAACATGGCCGCCAGACCGACAATCAGGCCCAGTTCCTCAGAAGAGAAGTGCGACTCCCCGAGTGCAAGCACCGCTTGGCGACAAGCATTTGAGAACATTGGTTTGTTTGTGTCTCCCTGGGCTTGCTGAAGTCGCGTGTGCTGGAGGAGGAGGAGAGAGGAGGAGAGAGGAGGAGGAGGAGGAGAGAGGAGGAGAGAGGAGGAGGAGGAGGAGGGGGAGGAGGAGGAGAGGAGGAGGAGGAGGAGGAGGAGGAGGAGGAGAGGAGAGGAGGAGGACCCCGCCCTTCGGCCTGAGGGCTGGGAGGCGGCGCGCGGGTGCTGTGTGGTTTGAGGGCTGGGTGACGTGGCCACCCCTCCTTGCCCATGGACGGAGGGCTCTGAAGGGGCCCCAGGACACGCAGATAAATACACACAAATAAATATATCCCCCACAGTTTCCAATCTTTTCTGGGTTTTCGGCATCTTTGCACCCTGATCGACCGACCGACCGACCGAGAGGGAGGAGGAGGGAGGAGGAGGAGGAGGAGGAGAGGAGGAGGAGGAGGAGGAGGGCGGCCGCGGGCGCGGTCCGAGGAGACGAGGCCGCGGCGCGGGGCCAGGGGCCCGACGAGCCCATCCGCCCAGCCCTCGGGGTGGCGACTCGCGCGCTCGGTCCGCCGCCGCTGGCTGCCGCCGCCGCCGCCGTGGACGTCGTCATCGCCCTCGCCGTCGAAGCCCTCCTCCTCTCCCTCCTCCTCCTCCTCCTCCTCCTCCTCCTCCTCCTCCTCCTCCTCCTCCCCTTGCCGTCCACGTGATCCTGCTGCCTCCTCCCTCTCATCCTTCTCGTCTTCATTACCCTCCCTCTCCTCATTCCCGCTTCAACTGGTCCTCGTTCTCGTTCTACTCCCTCCTCCTTCCTCCCTCCGCCCCTCCTCCCTCATTGAATATGTATAATGCCCCTCGAGCCCCTACCCTCCGATGAGGGAAACGGATGGAGGGGGGCCGGGTGAGGAGGGACAAGCGGAGAAGGAGCAGGGAGGAGAGGTAAGCGGAGAGAAGGAAGGAACAAGGAGGAAAAGGAAGCAGGAAACCAGGATGAGGGAGCAGGGAACAGGCGACAAGGAAGAGGGGAAGAGGGTGAAGAGAACGGCAACGACAATGACCGCGACCGACAACCGACGAAGGACGAGCAACGGGCAACCGACGAGCGACGAACGATGAGCGACGACCGAGGACCGACGGCGACGACGACGATGATGCCGACGCCCGACGACCAACGCCTGATGTCTGACGCCCGACGACGACCCCCGACTACAGACGGCGACGGAACGCGGTGGCGACGACGACGAGAATACAGACGACGACCATCTTGCGAACATTTGACCTTCGTCTGTTCTCGCTCTCCCCTGCACCCGCCCGCTGATTCTATGAACCAGCCCCTTCTCGGGGGACTTCTTCTCGTACCAACTGCTGGGTGAGACATTCAGCAATGCACTATGCGCACCGTGCTGCCATAGCCGTCATGCCAGCTAACGCGCCCGTCTGAAACTCACGACCTTGAGAGTGAGCTTCCAGAACACCTCCGCCGAGAGCGCCATTTCTGAGCTTGGGCGCCTCTCTGGCCAGGGCGTCTCGGAGCAACCCGCGAGGAAGTCTCGAGCGGGAGCCGCTGTCGTCGTAGTTTGGGCCTCCAGGGGCCCACAGCTGGAAGCAAGCCCGCGCTCGATCGGGAGCCTCGGTTTTTCAAACAAAACGCCGCCGTCGAGGCGAGAGCACCCGGAACCGTCCGTATATCCGCAAGGAGGAGGAGGAGGAGGAGGAGGAGGAGGAGGAGGAGGAGGAGGAGGAGGAGGAGGAATAGCCATTCCATATAATGGGCCAGAGCTGGCTGAGCGACACGCTAAGCCGAAGTTCCCGACCGTATGCTCTAGAAGCGGATACAGTCGGACCTGGGCCGGAAGAACATCCCCCAAGAACATGAGACCCTCCGCTGGCCAACACACACACACAGAACATGCAGGGGTACTCTCCACGGGGTGCACGAGAGCATCCAACAAACGCCAAGAACACCAGGGCACCCTTAGAGGGCAGAAAATCCACCCCGATAATAACCACCCAGACACGCGAGGCCGTTCCGTAAACGCGCCCAAATAAGGAATCGAACAGGGCAAGGCTGTTTCGTAAACGCCTAGGGCCGTTTAGTATACGCCAATTGTCCGGTCAGGGTGGTTTTTCCCTCCCCTGGAACCCTCCCCAAGACCGACCTCGATCTCACACACCTCGGTGCGACTGCACTCGACGACGGCAAGACGATGAGGCCGCCCTCTCGCAAGGGGGGCGTTTAGTACACGCCCAGGGCCGTTCAGTAAACGCCAATTGTCCGGTCTGGGTGGTTCTTCCTCCCTTGGCACCCTCCCCAAAACCGATCTCGATCTCATACCGCGGTGCGGCTGCACTCGACGACGACCAGACGACGAGGTCACCCTCTCGCGGAGGGGGGCGTCAAGGCCGGGCCTGGCCGCCATCCGTCGCCGCCGTCGGCCCCCGTCCGTCGTCACCGCCGCCGCCGCCGCCGCCGCCGCCGCCGCCGCCGCCGTCGTCGTCGTCGTCGTCGTCGTCGTCGTCGTCGTCGTCGTCGTCGTCGTCGTCGTCGTCGTCGTCGTCGTCGTCGTGGGTCGTCGTCGTCGTCGTCGTCGTCGTCGTCGTCGTCGTCGTCGTCGTGGTCGTCGTCGTCGTCGTCGTGGGTCGTCGTCGTCGTCGTGGGTCGTCGTCGTCGTCGTCGATCGTCGCGGGTCGTCGGTCGTCGCCCTCCCGAACGGCACCACGCAGGGCGTGCGCCTGGCCGCCTCGCAGCCAGTGGTGCCTGGCGACCACTCGACGCCTCTGCCGCCGCGCGGCGGGGGGGAGGAAGGTGGGGGCGTCCGCGCCCGCGCCTCCTCCTCCGCCTCCTCCTTCTCCTCCTCCCCCTCCTCCTGCTTCTCCCCTTCCTCCTCCATCCGTCCCACTGTACCAATACCAACAACAACATGCTTGTGCAGTGTTAGTCCTCTCTCGGGCTGAATCAAGTCGGCACTCGGATTCCATATCTTGAGTCGAATGCCTAACCATTTTTTGTGGCCCTTTTAAGGGCCCACTCTGGTCTGCACGATTATCTTGTCTTGCACTCCCCCGGCAGTGCCGTCCTGAGTGACGGTCTTTCGCGGATCCCCGAGTTCCGAGTTCCGAGTTCCCCTTCCTCATCCACAATGACTCAATATGAATACTACCCTCCCTCTTCCCCTGATGACGGATTGAAAGTATTAGCCCCCCCCCCTCCCCCGCGTACTGTTTTTTACACACAGGATTCCCCATAATTGGGTTTTCGCATACACTTTTTCCAAAATGCTGCTCTCGCTGAGGCGCCGGCCTCATTTTCGGGCCCCGCTCGTTCCGAATCGTGCTCCCGCTGCAGCGCTTGCCTCATTTCCGTGCTTCCGCTCGTTCCGAATCGTGCTCCCGCTGCAGCGCTGGCCTCATTTCCGCGCTTCCGCTCGTTCCGACTCGTGCTCCCGCTGCAGCGCTGGCGTCATCTCCCGTGCCATGCCACGGCACGCAATGCAATGCTAGGTTGATGCCGCGCTTTGCGGTGCTCTTCTACGCCATGCCATGCCGTGCTCTACAATGCATCGCGTACCCTTTCGGAATCATTGCCCTGCTCGACATCCGACTGTGCGAGTAGAGAGGGGATCTACGCAATGGTAAGGGATTGGAGGGAGGGGTAGGATGTCAGATATGACGCGAGCGCACCTAGCTTGTCCCCCCCCCCCCTCTCCTCCTCTCCCACGTAGGCAAGCTCTCACGCAACTTCCCACTGCAGCGAACAGTCAAAAACAAGCTGGCCTCGAAGCCACTCTTATCGCCAGTATTCATGCGCTCCATCAGGGAATCAACCAGCCGGCGTCTTCCCATCACCAGGCTCAGGAACAGTCAGCCCCGCTGCTCGACAGGCTCCAGTGAGCGCAAGATGCCTGGAGCGGCCTGCAACAGGCCTTTCAGCCCGCAGTGGCTTTGGGGGCGTCCCTCCACAGCAACCTCCAAGCCTTTGATCAACGCCCAACGTGCGGCGCACCGGTGCCAGCACCCCTCCCCACCGAGGGGCCGGCAGCTCCGTCGCCCGTTCCCTCTGGGCCGCTGCGGGGGATCCCAAGGCGGTGCCGTTCACCTCATCCCAAGCTCCGCATCGCGCATGCCAGCGCGCGGGTGTGAAGGCGGCGCTAGTGCCACTGGTGCGCGCACGGGCCCTGGAGCGGCCTGATCACCGCATACCCGCCTTGCTTTCCAGCCGGGGCCCCCACGGGCCGCGCCGGGAGGGGGGGTCACTCCACCGCCCCTGCGGCGTCAGTGGCACCTCCCGCCTTGTGAGGCAGGGTGTGCAGGGCGCTTGTAGCCTCGGTGCCCAGACGGACCTGCTGTCCGAAGTGTTGCGCCCTCCTCCTCTCCCCACCTCCTTCTCGCCCTCCCCCTTCCCTTCCTCCTCCCCGTCCTGCCGCTCCTCCTCCATCCCTCTTTCATCATGAACAGCGCCTCCCTGTCGCATCCCCCTATGTGTCGGTTGGGCGGGCTGGGCGTTTCGCATGGGACTTCGTCGCCATTTGTGGCCCTGAAGCTTAAACTGTGCAGCAATTTCACGGATGGAGGGCGGGCCGTTTTCAACATGTAGCTCTCGCCTTAGTGCCGCGCGCATGGGTCTTAAACATTGCAAACGTTGAGAGCGGGTCGTTCTCAACATGTCTCAACATGTGCTTCTCGCCTTAGTGCCGCGCACATTCGTTTCACACAATTTGCAACTGATTCAAAAATGTAAGGCGGTTCTCTTCAAAAAGGTGGCTCTCGCTCAGCGCCGCGTGCATTCGTCTTGTAAGTTTACAGAGGTTCAAAATATTCGCATGGTCGAATTCCCATGAATGGTGTTCTGGCGCGATTCAGGATTGCCAGAAGATAGCAAAAACGCTGATTTGCAGTGAAATCCCAAGAATGGTGTTCTGACGCGATTTAGAACTGTCAGGACACAGCCGTCATGCTGATCCGCGGCGTTAAAATCCTACGAACGGTGTTTGGCACGAGTGCGGATTCTCACACACTCCCCGAAATGAAAGGAAAGTCTTCTAGGGACCTATGAGGGAGGAACTTGGAGGGAGGGTTCATTGCAACATCGTTGATGCGTCTTGGGTTCACACTGGTCCTCCTCCTCCTCCTCCTCCTCCTCCTCCTCCTCCTCCTCCCCCGCCAGCCCCTCTTCCTCCTCCTCCTCCTCCTCCTCCTGCCCTTCTCCTTCTCCTCTTCCTGCCACTACCGCCGCCGCGGAGGCAGCGCCCGCCCGCCGCGGCAGATGCCTCCGCCGCCGCCTCCACGTCCTCCCCTCTCCCCTCCTCTCTCCCCTCCGCCCCGAGGCGGCTCCAGCCGCAGCGGCGAGGGCGCTCCAAGAGGCCCCCCCGAGCGTGCGAGCCTCGCCCGAAGACCTCGGCCCGCGTGGCAGGCTGCCGACTGTACACCTGCACCGATCATGCCGACCCTGGGCGCATGCTCGGCCCGGCCAGGGTCGGCGCGGGTGTCCGGCTGGTGCCCTGCGACCTCGATCGGCGACTGCCGCTGCGCCCGCCGCCTCGCACGAACACGAGCGGCTGCTTCTGTACCACGGGGTGCTCCTACGCGCTGCGACCCGCAAGTGTGGAAGACGGCCGCGAGGCCCGAAAACTGCCTCCAAGCGCCTGGGATTGCGTCAAACTTCGGTTTCTCACTCCGGACCGCCGGACCCTCGAACCTCGATCCTTCGATGCCACCGTTCCCCCTCCACTGAGGGGCAACGGTAGGGAGGGACTGCCATAGGGGGGGACACATCGACCTGGAACTGGCGATGCATCGCCGATGGATCGGCGATAGGCCCCCGATAGCGAATCCGAACCTTCCTGGGCGGGTTGGGACTATCGGACCCCTATCGGCGATGAACGGGCGGTTCGGGGTCGATGCGTTCCCCCCTATGCCTATTCCCCCCCCTGGCGTTGCCCCCGAACCCCTCCGCGCCAGGCGCACCTGCGAACCATCGCCTCGAGCAGCTCGGCGTAGCTCCTCGCACCGCCGCGCCGCGCGGCCGGGAACGGGGAATAGGAGGAGGAGGAGGGGGAGGAAGAGGAGGAGGTGGATGATGAGGATGAGGATGAGGATGAGGATGAGGATGAGGATGAGGATGAGGATGAGGATGAGGATGAGGATGAGGATGAGGAGGAGGAGGAGGAGGAGGAGGAGGAGGAGGAGGAGGAGGAGGAGGAGGAGGATAAAGTGGAGGACGGGGATGAGCAGGGGGAGGAGGAGGCGTTTGCGGGGAACAGGCGGGAGGGCGACGCCAACGAGGAGGAGCGAGCGATGAGGGAGGGGGGAGCATGCCCAGACCAGCTCGCGTCGTAGAACGATTACGATTTTGGGCACCTTCGGCTATGAGGGGCCTCGCTGGGCCCAAGGGCCGTCAAGACCAAACTCGGGATTAGCAGTCGGGCCTGGGGAATGGTTCGGGACTTCTGGGGACCGCGTGTTGAAAAATCCAGACATCGCATGTCTGGGGGAGGACGGCGACGACAGCAGGAAAGCCTCCGAAGGTCTCTCCGAAGTACCGCGGAGGCCCTCAGCGGCCTTCGGATGCGCAGAACATGCAGAAGTGACGCCCTCGAGCCTGTGACCTCGAGCCTCCCCCGCTCCCCGAGATCCGATGCCACGAAACGTCGCAGCGTCGTCGGCACAATCGCACCCAGAGCCCTGGCCATCGCTCGGACGTCCATTCCCTGTGTTTTTTTTCGGTTTCATGCGTTTTTTTTTTTTTTTTTTTTTTTTTGTTTTTTTTTTTTTTTTTTTTCTCCGCCACATGATCAAGGATGCTCCTCGATGGTCCTCGCCGGAGGAAACATGCACACGTCCGAGCGATGCCAAGAGCCCTCGGCCCCGTGTTTCCCGCGGCCTCTCGGGCCAGGTTCGGTCCGGGGGGGGGGGGTCCTCGGTGGCCCGTTGGGCAGGGCGAGTGCGGCCGGCGCGGAGCAGCCGCTGCGCCCAGATCTCGGGGCTCCCCCTCCCCTGGCTCCGGCCCCTCCTCGCCCGCCCTGTCCCCCCCCTCGCCTGGCCCTCGCCCCCCCTCGCCTGGCCCTCGCCTGGCCCTCGCCCCTCGCCCCCTCGCCTGGCCCTCGCCCCCTCGCCTGGCCCTCCCCCCCCTCGCCTGGCCCTCGCCTGGCCCTCGCCCCCCCTCGCCTGGCCCTCGCCTGGCCCTCTCCCCGGAAAGCATGTTGAGAGTATCCCGCCCTCTCTGTGCCCTGTTCCTGACACACAAGACTGTTGCCTTGTTTGTTGTCTCCCATCCGAGCGATCTCGCTCCTTCCCACATGGTGCTCCCGCTGGAGCATTGGCTCCATGTCCACGTTCTCGTTTCTTCGAAACAATGCTCCCGCTGCAGCATTGGCAACACTTCCGCGTTTTCGGTCCTCCTCAACGGTGCTCCAACTGCTGCATCGCTGGCGTCATTTCCGCGTTCAGTCCTTCAAATGGTGCCCCAGCTACAGCATTATCCTAATTTACAGTTGGTCTGTCCTTCAAAATAGCGTTCCGGTCACAGCGTGGGGTTCATGTCTGAAATGTCGGTCCTTGATGATAGCGCTCTGGCTCCAGCGTTGGTCTCATTTCTGAAGCTGCATTCCTGACTTGGCCTGGAACCTCCGTCCGAAGATCTGGCCCTCTCTACGCGGCGCAAGCCGTGCTCTTGCATCAACATGTGGCTTGCACCTCCCAACCCTGGTCCCTGCGGTGTGGTATTTCAACATGGGCCTCCCGCTACAACGTTGGCTCCACTTCTCTGTTGCTTTGGAGCCTCCGTCCAAGGGACTGGCGCTCTCGCTATAGAGCTGGCAGCACTATTGGATCGGCATTTGCTCACGTCTCCCCGCCTTGCGTCCTACGCAATGGCACGCCATGCTATGCTATGCCATGCTACGCTCAACTGTGCTCCCCAACGCCATGCTATGTCGTGCTATGCTGCGCGGCGTTTACCCTTTCAAGTCAATGCCTTCTTCGACACCCGACTATGCGAACAGAGAGGGGCTCTACGCAATAGCAAGGGATGGGAGGGAGGGGTAGGACGTTAGATATGACGCGAGCGCATCTAGCTGGCTCCATCCCCCTCTCGCCTTTCCTTCTCCCCTCCTCGCGTATCCTCGTCTCGCCCGCGCTGCCCCTCACTGAGCCCGTGTCCTTCTGAGCACGAGCCCGGCCGAGAGCGGCCCTCTCTGTCGGCGGCCAGCCCGGGGGGGAGGTGAGAGGGGGCGGGCATTCTCAGAAGGCTCGGAAATTTCCCGGTCTCTTGAGAAGTTTCCTCGGCCTTCCCCGAGGACGCGGAACACTGCTCGGAAGGCGCGAGGGCTTCTGAGAAGTCCCGCCGCCCTCTGAGAAGGCCTTCTCCTTCTCGCTTCCCCCCCTCGCTCGCCGCCCCCCCCGGCCCCATGGGCTCCAGGTGAGGTCCCGCGCGTTGTACTGCA